TTTGCTGTAATATGATCTCAGGCAAAGTTGCTTTAAATTTGCTTTAATCGTTGTCTGACTATCAAATGCTGCTTCACACTTGAAATTTCAGTAGGAGTGCTGCTGCTTTGTTTCCTCATAGAACAAAGAGTAAAGGCAAAATAACCTTAATGGAGACTTTTTCAGATGACCAGGCAGCATGCAGGTCAGGTGGGAATGCAGTTTCCTTACGGAGTCAGGACTGGTTCATATTAGCGATGAATGGAGCTGTAATGCTGGTGGTTGTTGTTGTGCCATAACCCTTGTGGTGTTCCCTCGTGCATGAGCGAGAGCTTGTTTTTTCAGGTGATGCCATGCCTTGTTTCCTGGTGTTGCTAGGAGAGCTAATTGCACTAAAAATTGCTTCAGTAGCAATACCTGAGGGAGCAGATGGAAACAACCTGTGTGAATTCGGGAGTGATACTGTTGAGATATGTGACATTAGCAACAGCAGTTGAAACAACCTGGGGTTTGTTGTGGCTGGAGGCTGCCTGAAAGTTTCTTCCTTTAAGGGAAGATTAAATCTAATTTTGTACTTTTGTCCAAAAGACCTAATTAAATGTGGCTGCAGCATTGGAAACAAAGTAAAATGATAAGCTAAAATTATATAAAGGACATTTTTCCACCTATAATATAATTTATTGATAAAATAGTTTAAGTTCATGTTTAGAAATGCTGATAAAAGGAATGGCTCAGTAGAACGATAAAAGTTTGATCAAGTTCTCCCTTCTGTCTTTGTATTATTATGTATCTACAGGCATTTTCCAGGGTCCTTTACCTGCCAGGTAGAGGGATGCAATGTTCTTTGCAACAGCTAATGAAATAAGTGTTAAGAAAGCATTTAGTATGTGAAGTAAGTGTGTGTGTTGTATGTTTCCTTTTATTTTGTAAAGTTGGAAACAAAAGTGCAAGTAAAGTTTCCAACTTCCCCCCCAGTTTTGCGGGCCTAACTATACAATGCGTCACTTCAAATGATCTAGGCTAAATGCTACTGGTATTTTTCATCCTGATGCAGAGAACTTTTGACAGGATGAATGAAGAAGTGAAGACAAGGAGCTATGTCAGTGTCTGTGGGGATGGAGGGATGTGATAAATTTCTACAGAAGATGGTATCTATCTATCTCCACTGCAGACAGAAAAATACCTGACTGTAATTGTCAGATAACAAATATTCTGCTAATGATAGCCTGACAATTTAAACTGCTAAATTGAGACTTTAACTCCTATATGGTAGGTATGAGTTAGGTAAATAATATGTCTCTAACCAGCCTTTGTAAAATAGCTGAAGAAGCCAAACATTGCGGAGGGCACTGAGCGTTACAGACTGCCATAGCAGCATAAACAGTTTTGTTTCAAGAGTTCCCTGTAACCTTCTCTGATGAAACTTGAATCGTTACTATAAATAAACTATTCTATCATTAGTGTGTTTAGTTCATTGGTAGTTTATCTTGCTTAGATTTGAGAATTTATTGAAAGCAGTTATCGTTTGATCAATTCCCTGATGAACTCTAAATCTTCATGAAGATAAGATGATTTTTCTTAAAGATAAATTGACTTGTGGAACTTAGAGACTTAAGAGAGGAAACGTGTGATGATATTACACTTAAATATAGTGTTACTCCTATTAAAACTGAGACAGTGCCTAGTTCAGTTTTGGGATGTCTGAACTGTAGGATTACTACAGCTAGCAGTAAGTCTGAAATAGCAAGTCTTTAACTTTACTTTACCTGTGAAATCTCTTTTGGATTAAAGAAATACTAGAAAATATATACAAAATTTTAAAGACAGGATAAATTTAATTTAGCAGAGAGCCTTTATAAAATTGTAGTCATTTGAGTTTGTGAAGGCATGATGAGAAGTAGGAAAAAAACCCCTAATTTTATTACAGCTAAAATAAATTTGGTTAGGTCGGATTCATTTTAATGGTTTGAATGTTGGTGAGGTTAAATCATAATTTGGATATGAACTTTTTTTTCCCATGAAATTTTAAGTAGTTTAAAAGTGCATTGTAGTTTACCAGTTCTTCATACTACCAGTTTCTCAATATAAAGACTCCATGCTTCTGGGCTAAGCATTTGAAAATTGGAGCTTTTTTAGCCATTTCTTGTTGTGTAGTCTATAGAACTTGACACTGGTGATGTTGAAGTATTATGAAGGTGTTCTTGTATTGAAGGAGGATTGAACTTTTGAGGTATTTGAAATCCAGCGCTTTTTGCCAAGCGAGTTGCTCGTTACATCAGACCACTTTGTCCCCTATCGAATGCTCTGGGGGTTAGTCCCGATAAGTATTGCCCTTCCCAGTAAGTGATAGAGGAGCACGGGTGACTGCTGCTTGTCTGAAGTGTTTCTTTCCAATAGTGTTTACTGTACACATGCCTAATAAAACATTATTTTGAAGTGCAGAGTTATGTCATTGGCAAATATCTGTTTTTTCAATGCTCAGAAATAATGTTAAGGGCTGTCCATTTCTAGGTAGTTTGTTAGTTGCAAAGCAGTTATGAATGCATAACTCGACTGAGTCTGGCACCTAGGCTTGATTCGTGTAGCACTAGGGATGACGCTCACTCTTCCCCCAGCACAGAATTTCATGAAAATTTATTTGAGGAAATTGCCTTATTTTTCTTCCTTGGCTATTTCTTTGCACTTCTAATGTATATCTTAAAACATAATGTGGAGAATGAATTTACAGAATGAAATCAGTTGTCAGAAAGAACTATTTCAAGAAAAAAGGCTTTTTGTGAAACAAAGTGTGACCATTTGCAGATGGATATTCGTCATTACTGTATCTGAGTGGTACTTAGTGAATGACAGGGTTTTACTGTTCAGTCAGGGAAGAAGCAAATTGACCTCTACCTCTTCCTATGGTTTGTTTAGAAGAGTCAGGAAGGTGATGTGCTGGAACATGGAATTGGCCATGTTCTGTTACTGTGAAACACAGAAGCCATGTGCTGCAAGATGTTCTCTTGTATATTGATTAAAAAGTAAAGGTTAAGGCTCTGTTTAAGTTACAGCAGCCAGTAAGTCATTTCTTGCAGCCTCAGAACATATAGGGGTGGTGGTTGTTACTGTTTCTTGTTTTGGTTTGTTTTTGGTGTGTGTTCTGAGGAATGCTAACACTTCAAAAGTGATTTTTTTTTAACCTCAATTTTGGAGTATTTAATGAAGTAAAATTTGAGTCAGATTGGCTTGGAGGTAAGGTATATTGGAGCTTCTGGCTTGGAACATACACAGTAAACCTTCTCAGTAAGCTTCTATTTAGCTATAATGATCACAGAATAACAGAATAACTAAAGCTGGAAGGGACCTCTGGAGATCATCTAGTCCAACCTCCCTGCATGCACAGTGTATACATGTGTGTGTGTATATATATATAAATAAATTAAAAATATGTACAAAACAACTGTGCCTTTGGCAGAAATATGTTTTACTTTGCATCGTCATCCAAAGTGACTGTATAATTTGTTGACATTCAGGCTGTATTGTAGTTCTTTAGGAAATTTCATAGGGCTAATATTTAAGGAAAGTGACATTTGGTTGTAGCATTTCTTGTTGCTTGAGTCAAAGTATGTATAAGTTACAATTGCTTCTGTCTGATTTATTTTAAATACCCGAGGTGGTGAGGAACACTTTTTAATCTTTTTTATGCATCGCGAAGTTGTTCCTCATGTTCAGGTGGAAGAATTACCTCAGGGACAGGAATCTGGGCACATTGTAAAATGGTGCTGTGAAGCAGTGATGTGGGGCTGTGCAAGGTGATCCAGCAGCAGCAAAGGCCGCTTGAATTCTCTGCTTACAAGGCAGGGGTGCGTGGCAGAGTGGTAACACGGGATCCTGCACTGGGCTGCATTTGCAAAATGCTTTGGGGCTGCTTTTGGCAGAGTTTTCAACTCTGGAGGCTGTCATACAGGTGTTTGGTTTTAATGTTCAATGATTTGGGGGCAAGTGTTAACAAAAAATGTACTCTTCGTGCCACAAGCACTGTTGTATGTGTGGAGACCTGTAGTTTTCATATGCTTTATCCAGTCAGGTGTGACTTAGAATGAAGTTGCTTCTGTGTAGTAGCCAGGCAACACGTGTGATTGAGTCAGGGTTGAGTATTGTAATTCCAACACGTGTGATTGACTTACGGATGGATGTTCTAAGTCAGTGAAAAACAGACTAGGGTGGCCAGTAATCAGGCCGTGACAGAAAAGAACCCTTCTGAGAATGCATGTTCATGCTTGTGCAAGAAATTAAAGCTTCTTTTATCAAGAATGAAAAAATTCACTTGTGTGTTTTTGTTTGTTTGTCTCCTATTTTATTGTGGTTTTGATACTGTCCTTGTTACCATTTGTTACTGGGTTACGAGGACTTTGCCCTGTTGACTGCCTTTGCTAATAAATCAAGAATTTATTCTCTGGTGGTATTGCACATGTTGGCTCTTTATTTTCTAACAGTACTCAAAAGTGTCTGGTGAATTCCTGACACTTGGTTCAGACTTAGCAGCCCCTGGCAATGATTCTAGAGCTTCCGAGAGTAGTTTTGTAACTTCTAAGAAACTTAAGATAAGGCATATCGGTGCAAAATGAAAGCATATCCTTGCGAGTGCTTAAGTTTGTTGCCTCTACTTGGAAGTTTGACTCTAAGGACTACTGATGATAAGAATTTGCTGTCTAATTTGTTTGTTTAAAGCAGTTGCAGAAATATTTCGTGACATAATTTCAGTTGTAAAATGCTAAGGTTCAGATTTATTCACACAAAACCTGTCTTGATGATGACTTTACCTTTCTGTAACTAAATAACTGAAAAGTATGACCTGTACTTACACGTTCAGTGTGTGTATAGATTAGAAGTATGTATATTATAAATGGAAACAGCTTCAGTGTGTTTAGAGATTCATACTTAGCTCAGTGCATAACTTTCAGTTTGCCTTGCCTTTCCTTGATAGAGCCTACAGGTGTTTCTCTTTCTGCTGTATAATGCTGCCTTTCTCTGCCCCTTAGATGTGAATGAGTTGAAGGAATGTCTTCACGTCCTAGTGAAGGAACAGCAAACTCTGGCCACTCAAACTGCTACGACAGCCCTTTCAGCGATGCGGCTAAAGCAGAGGCTGGTTATTCTGGAAAGATATTTTATTGCGTTGAACAGAACCGTTCTTCAAGAGAATGTCAAGGTTAAGTGGAAAAGCAGTAATATTCCTCTGCCTGCTGTGGATAAGAAAAGGTAACAGCAAGTTATTACTAACCTGTATCTGAGAACTTAATATGATTTCTTTCTCTTCATGAAACATGATAAACTTTTTTTTATTTACTAAGACTGTGTTAAGTGGTGTTTTCTACCACATAATGTTCCTCCTCAGATATCATTTAATTACAGTACCTCTATGTTGATGAGTGTTTGTATAATATATTGAGTTTTCTACCACGTAATGTTCCTCCTCAGGTATCATTTAATTACAGTACCTCTGTTTGTGTTGATGAGTGTTTGTATAATATATTGCTATGGCTGCTATTGTTGAGCTATAAGCATACTTTTTTTATTGAGATGTTCCTTTTGTTCTACTCAGAAATAAAGCTTGTTTCGGAACTGTTGCTGAAGGGGAGTTCTAATAATATTAATAAACCTTCTTATCAATGTTTGCTAACTTAAGACACATAATTAAAACCTTAAGTACGTAGAAGTTGAACATAAATTTTCTTAGCTTGGGAAGGAAATACTGTAATCCATATATTATCTGAAAATTTTTCCAGAAATCTAACTGAGTAAGAAATAAGCTGACAACTTTCCATATTTAAGTTGACCTAAAACCCTTTGACAATTGACCATTAAACCATTGACCTAAAACCAGAAAAAAATTGACAGGTGAAGCCTTGGGTAATTGAACAAAATATTGCTGTATGACAAACAAGCAGTTCAGACAGAAATTGTATTGTATTGTCTCTTGTGTTGCATTGTCTCTAGCTTCCAAACCTAAAGAAAAAACTGATAATAGATATAATAGACTGGTTATTATGGGATTAAAGTTCAGACAGTGACATGTTTCTCTGAATAATCTTGTTCTCTGTGGAAGATCTTTCAGTTCTCATTAATAACACTGGTATATTTAAGTTACCAGACTACTGAAAATCCTAGTTAAAATTTTCTGCCAGTTGAGACACCCAGAGCATTTGACTTTCATGGTAGTATGAAGTTGAAAAACAGGTTTGTTGATGTTCCTAAGAGAAAACAGTAGGGAACCTGATGCTGTCAGGTACAAGGGAAAGCTTGCTTAAATTAATATGCTTGTTTGTATAAAAAAACAAGTTCAGTAAAAACGTGTGTGATCTCAGTGGGCCTTAATGGAAGTTCAAAGCATCTCTCTGCCTTACACAAATCAATACAAAAGCTACAAGGAGATACTCATAATTTTGGAACTTGAGTGGAAAATTGAGAAATGACAAGTGATGGAATTTATTATCAGTAATTGAATAGAAGATTTATACATAGGATTTTTATACAGTAAAAGCCTAAGGACATAGTTTATATTGTCTAGATTAATTGTAATAATTTCAATGTTTCTTAATTTCAATATTTCGTAATTTATTTCTGAGTAAATATACAGGGCTTTCTTCTTCAGTCAGTTATGCCAAACTCATTTATTTTTTCTTCTGAGTCTTTGATGGGGGGGTGGATTTTCTCTTTCTTTCTTTAGTTGAATATTGATTACTGACATTTAGATATTTCCCACCATTTCTCTCAAGAGACTTAAAATTCTTTATAAATATAAATTATATTTTTCTACATATATATATATAAACTACAAATACTGTGTTCCACTTTTAAATTTTACAAATAATTACTAGTTATATATCACTATTACATGGATTATTTAGAGATTATACATATGTAATTTTTATTTTTATTTTTTTTAGCCCAAGACCTGTAGGCAAAGGTGTAGAAGGACTTGCAAGGGTTGGATCCCGAGCAGCGCTTTCGTTTGCATTTGCATTCCTTCGTAGAGCATGGAGGTCGGGTAGGTCTACCTTTTAGCTTAATGCTTTTGTGTTTGATTGGAAAACCAATGATTCATTGAAGCATGTTTATTAAATATTTGCATAGGGTTGTATAATATTTTTATAGCTCTGTTAGATTTGCATAATCATGCAAATGTTTTATGTGGTATTATGTCCAACAACCTTGCCAGCACTGGTGCTTCGTTTTATGGGGAATCTGACTTGGTGACTTTATGCTCAGGAAAGTAAATTGGGGATTCTGTATACAGAACATATTTTTAATGCCTGACTTCAGAAAAGTGAGAGCAGTCCTCTAAACGGATAAATAGCTTACTAACCTGTAGTAATATAGTGACTTGAAAAAAGGGTTTGGAGCAATAGGGAGAAACTGGTGTTTAGTTTGGGTATCATTTGTGCGCTTGACAGTAATCATCAGCACTAGGAAGTTTAATGTGACAGGAATATCATCTGTGCCACCTTAACTTATCTTTTGTTCAGACTTGCGCTCGCCCTGCAGCTCTTTGACTGTCTTTATCCAACCAGCCCAAGTTCTTTTTTTTTTGATTTCCTCAATGGATACATAGGGAAATAAGCAGTTACAGGACTTGTGATCACACCTCACCTTCCTGATTGGTTTTGGTGAAATAGATAGTTCCTGAAGTTCTGCAGTGAAAATTTTTGTGTGGAAATTAATAATATGCATCTGACAGGTTCTCAGTGCAAGGCACTTGTAAGACCGAGATCAAAAGTAATCTGCAAAATACTGCATACAAGAATTGGTGTGCTTTCTGTAAAGATATGGTTTAACTAGTATTACTGTGACGCCCAGGTGAGGATGCAGACCTCTGCAGTGAGTTGTTACAAGAATCACTTGACGCACTGCGGGCACTGCCGGAGGCATCGCTTTTTGATGAAGGGACTGTGTCCTCTGTGTGGCTGGAAGTTGTGGAAAGAGCTACTAAATTCCTAAGGTCTGTTGTGACTGGGTAAGTTTCTTT